CAATCTACTACGGGTCCGCCTCGTTGTGCGTTCAAAATTGATATAAGAAAAGCTTATGATACGGTGGATTGGCGGTTCCTTATTGTTATGCTTGAAGGTTTGGGGTTTCACCCTGTTATGGTTAAGTGGATAAAGGAGATGGTTTCGACTCCTTCTTATTCTTTAGCCATTAATGGTAATTCATATGGTTTCTTTCTTGGTGGGAGGGGTCTTCGTCAAGGTGATTCGTTGTCCCCCTATCTATTTACGATTGTTATGGAGGGATTTTCTCTGCTCCTTCAAAAGTGTATTCGGGAGGCTGCTGACTTTGGTTACCATCGGGGTTGTGAGGACTTGGATTTGACTCATTTATGTTTTGCGGATGATTTGTTTGTCTTTACCAAAGGGGATGTCCTTTCTGTTGAAGTGTTTAAAAAGCTCTGGCTCTTTTTCAGAACTATTCGGGATTAGCGCCTAGTCTTGAAAAAAGTGACATTTATTTTGGTAATGTTCCTCCCAACATTAAGGCGGCTATCCTAGAATGTCTTCCCTTCAAGCTAGGTATCTTTCCTGTTCGATATTTGGGTGTTCCTTTATCGCAATCTCGGTTGAAGACTTGTGACTATGCTCCGCTGATTGCTAAAGTGAAGGGCCGTATACTTAATTGGAAATCTAAGTTTCTTTCGTTTGGTGGATGGCGTCAGCTTATTATATCGGTTCTCCAATCTCTTTAGCTTCATTGGATGTCGGTTTTCTTATTCCCGTCTGGTATCATTCATGATCTTGAATCTATATTTCGAAAATTCCTTTGGGCTCCAAGGGAAGATCCTCGTGGTAGATGTCGGTTATCATGGGATATGGTTTGTAGACCGCTGTCATCTGGGGGTCTTGGAATTAAGACTCTCCACTTGGAATCGGGCTTTACTTGCAAAACATGTGTGGGATATTGCTAGGCGACGGGATTCTATGTGGGTTCATTGGATTTATAGTAATAATCTCGGTTCTTCGAATTTCTGGATGGTTCGTAAGAATTCTAATTGGTCTTGGGTTTTTCATAAACTTTTAGACTTGCAGAGTCATTTGCGTCGGTTTCTTTTTTCTCAAATTGGTGATGGTTGGGACACGAATGCTTGGGAGGATGCTTGGTTACCTTGTGGTCCTCTATCCGCTTTTATCTCTTACCGGTTTGTCCATTCATGTGGGTTCTCTACCTTAACGACAGTTCGTGATCTTATTATAAACTGGAATGGTAATTGGCCTGATGATTGGTGTCAACGGTTTGATATGCTTCATAATTCTCCGTTACCTTTATTGACCTCTGTTCGTGATAAAGTTCTATGGGGGGACAATTATACTATGTGTTTGGATTTTACTGTGGGTAAGGCTTGGGCTTCCTTAGAGGGTAATCATCCTGTGATCCCTTGGTCTAAATTGGTTTGGTTCTCGGGTCATATTCCAAAGCATGCATTCTGTTTTTGGTTGGCTTGTCAGAGACGGCTTCCGACTCAAGACCGTTTACATTGGAAGGATGAGCCCCCAGATTTGGAGTGTTCTTTTTGTGGTCAATGTTTGGATAGTCATGATCATTTATTCTTTCAATGTTCGTATGCTGGAGTTGTATGGACTAGTGTTTTACATATGGTGGATCTGCCGGGTATGCCTTCAAGGTGGGAGCAGATTGTTCAAGTTATTTCGGATCCTAATAGTCTTCTGAAATTGTTAAAGCAGAAGCTTGCTGTGGCTGCTACTGTTTACTATATTTGCCAGGAGCGTAATAGAAGACTTTTTTCTGTGACTAAGCGTACGACTCAGGATCTTATTGCAGTTATTAGGGATTCTATCTCTATTCGTGCAGATTGGTAGGCAAGTCGTCCTGTGGTTACTTATGGTTGACTTGAAGACTTGGTTTTGGCTATGGGGGGCTTTGGTTTGGGTTAAGCTTCTCTTTTTTATCTTCTGTTGTTTGTTTGCTTCTTATGGGCTTTGTTTCTTTTGGCTTGTTGTGGCTTGGTTGGGGTGTTTCCCTCGGCCTTGGGGCTCTTGGTTGTAGGTTGCGGTCTCTCTGTTTTTTGGTTGCGTTGTAAACCTTTTTATTGCGTTTTATAAATTTGCCGAAGTTTTCCTTCAAAAAAAAATATTATCCCATTCAGGTCTCTTAGTACAAGAATCTAATATGACCAAACACAAGGTCCAAAAATTCTAATACATCACTTGTACTAATCAATTAAAACTATACACCAAAGCAGATCTTCAAGTATAAATGTGAATAGAAAAATATTAAATTTCCCCCTTTCCCTTACTGTCCGTACCTCCTGCAACACATAGTTAAAATCACAAAACGAGGGTTAGACCGAAAGGTCTAGTGAGATACCC